TACAACGGCTCTTCTCCATATTATTGATGATGTTGTTCGAGCTTCAGACAAAAGTGAGTGTACTGTTCTGGTCTTGCTTGATTTTAGTAGAGCTTTCGATACCATTAACCATAACTTGATGTTAGAAATTCTCCATTACATAGGGCTTTCGAATAATGCTAGAAATCTCTCAACATCTTACCTTTGTGATCGTAAACAAATGGTTGTAGTCGATGGACATTCCTCCAGTTATATGGGTTTGAAGTGTGGAGTCCCCCAAGGTTCAATTTTGGGGCCATTGCTCTTTGCAATATATACTTCCAACTTTATCATAGTTTTCACCCCAGTGAAGACCCCAGTAGAGACATGTGACCATATCAATGAGGATCTTTATAGTTTCATTAAAGCCGCAGAGGATCACTGCCTAAGCATTAATTGTAGTAAATCTAATGTAATACTTTTCGGCAATAAGAACAAACGAGATGAGATTTCTGATAGTGTGCGTATTGTAATAAAGAATGAAGTTCCTCAAAACGTAAGTGAAGCCAAAAGTTTAGGTATGATATTGGATTCTGATCTTAAGTTCGAAAAATACATAAATGTACTTATTCAACTTGCATACTTCACTCTCAAAACTATATATGGCAATAGACATTTGCTCTCAATGAATGTAAAATCAAATCTGTGTGAGTCTTTGATACTATCCATATTTAATTATGCAGATGTACTGTATGGGCCATTTTTATCCAGCCTATATCAGAGAAAAATACAGAAAGTGCAGAATTCTTGCTTACGACTAATATTTGGTATCCGCAGGAGAGAACATATCTCACACAAATTGAATGATAATGGTTGGCTAAATATGACCAACAGAAGGATGTTACATGCTGCTGTACTTTTTCAAAAAATAATTTTCAATAAAGTACCCTCATATTTGCACAGGAAAATTACCTTTCGATCCGATATACATAACCTAAATATCCGATATAAAGGAACCCTCTAGCCGCCATCTTCCAGACTAGAAATATTTAGGCGCAGTTTTACCTATCAAATATGTTTAATTTATAATCAGGTCCCCACCATGTTCAAAACTTATAGTATAAAAAGATTCAAGAAGGCATACAAGAAACATTTGTTTTCAAGGCAACCCTAAAATATCCGTGCGATAAAAATTATTATTATTAATGTATATGAATTGTTCATGTTTTTTTTTCCTTTCTTTTGTTCTGTTTAAGCTATACCTACATCTAGCGATATATTGAAGGTTAAGTGGAAGAACAGTTTGTAAGCTGATTTTAAATCATTTTACAAGCTGAACTTCGCCTTTTGCTTTCATGTCAACCTCATATTATGTGTATTTTTTTGTATTTACATATGGCAGCAATAAAGACGTTTATTATTATTATTATTATCACTCAAATACATTTCAATTTCATATTTTTTAGGAATTTTTCGGTCGATTTTTAGGTGCTAAAATCATCAATAATGCCACGGTAATTTTCAAACGGCTATAGAAATTTACCGCCAGCAAAAGCTGACGCCACGATTTCATAAATTGGTAATGTTTCTAATTAGCAATGAAAATTCAATTGTTCAATTTATGATTTGTGGCTTATTGCTTATAATGAATTTGTGTAAATAATAATTATATTAATTCACACTAGGGAACATTTGAACCGGTGAACGTGGCAACACAGCGCAGGACTTGAGGGCGTGGTCTTGTCAGTTTTCAGCATTCAGCACAATGTTGCCAAGTCTCCAACATTCACATGATATTGTGTTGTGGAGAATAATAACCATTTGGACATGCTGGTTGCCCGAAACAGTCAAGAATGAACTATTATAGTATGGGTTCCTTCTATCATGTTTTATTCAACGACAGGACCTGAACATCTTTCTGATAATTTGATTATAATTGGTGACTTGACAACCTTGCTTCATCAGTGGAAATGAAGGAGTATCTGACCAATAACGAAACATCATAAAAACTGACGTCTCCATTTATTCGACGTATCGCCAAATGGCGGCCATGAAGGTTCGTGTGAAATTTGAATGCCAATAATTCATGATCAGTCCACTCGCCCATTAGCTGAATGGAGGTATCACTCTGTATTAAAACAATTATGTATTATATCTCCATTCCATTAGGCCCGTGAAAACAAATATCTACTCCGACTTTTTCAAGTGTGTAATTGAAACCATAAATCAAATAAATGAATGGAGGCGATATTCAAACCAAACACATTTGCATACATTTTGAATTCGAAATTGTGCCTTGAATGCTGACTGCGTGCATTGGTCTTATTTCCAGACAACAGGGTTGCTCCAGAACAACAATTATTCAACGATGGAGACAATGATTTTATATATTTTCGACTGACTGAAGAAAGATGAAGATATTGCGTTTTTGCTATGATCAGTTTATCGCTACCGCTAACTGTAAAATATCGTATAAGTGTATTTTTGGCATTAATGTTTCAAATATGGAAAAATATACTGGGAGTTCCATGTGAAAAACATAACTTTGGGTTATATCTATATAATAACAGCTTATATCGAATATATGACTACGCCACTGGATTCCACGTTGAAAACTATATAAATGGCAGTTCTCAACCTTCAAAAATATCAATTGTGGTGTTCCACAGGGATCGATTTCAGGACCAATTTTATTCCTTCAAATCAAATTATTTGCTGATGATACAACACTATTTTATTCTGCTTCAAACACTGAACAAATTCACAGTGATATGGAACTTGATTTGAAGATAATAGGCCAGTGGCTACTAACACATAAATTATCATTAAATTACAAAAAATCTTCATTTATGTATATAACGAAAAGGAAGAAACCTGCGGAACAAATTGATCCAGTAAAAGTTGGTGTTAATGAAATGAGTTATACAGAATTTTCGAAATTTTTAGGATTGTTCATTGATAAAGGAATCATATTCCTAGAAAGTATCTATAATGAATATTTATCATTGCCTCATTTATTCTAAGATATAATACTTGATTTTTGTTTGGGGTTCTGCAAATAAATCTATATTGAGACCTTTACAAATTTTACAAAATAAAGCGATAAAATGTATATTCAAACTACCTTTTTTGGAACGAACTACGAATCTCTACATACCTAGAAATATTCTTGATATTGAGTCTATTCATGAAATGAAAATATGTACATTTATTCATTTAGTGAAAAATCATTTTAAACGTGCGAACATAATATTCACCAAAGTCAGTAGTATTCATAATCATAGTTCTCGAAATTACTCGACTATCTCGACTATCACAATAAAAAATAATTATGGAAAAAAATCAATATCTTATGATGGAATAATTATATATATAATTCTCTTCCTGATTCGCTGAAAAAGTTGAATAATATATACAATTTCAAAAGACAGCTAAAACTCCATCTTCTGTAAATGTGAGATGATTATTATGCATATTTTCAATGCTATCGTATTACAGAATTTATATTCATAATAACACATATAAATATCATATATCATATTATATCTATCTATCTTATACCTATCATGTTAAATGACCCATCGCACTGCTATCTATTATTTCAAAGATCATGGAGAAAGCTATCAACATGGAGCTTATGGAATATTCAGGTATTATCAGCGATAGGCAATATGGCTCCTGTCCTCAGAGATCAAATGGTGACCTTCTCGCTCGCTTCCATATATGACAGCAATCTATTGAAAAATATGGTGAAACCTTAGCCGTAGCACTTGATATCACCACGGCATTCGATCGAGTCTGGTATCACGGCCTCCTCGCCAAGGCTTGCCTCCCCAGGTATGTTCCCTGCTAGCTGGTTTCTTCTCAAACAGGTCTCTCCATGTAGTGGACGACAGAGTTTCATCTGACTCTCTTATTATAAATGCTGGTGTTCCGCAAGGATCAATTCTAGCACCAACACTATTTCTACTCCATATCAACGATTAGTTGAAAGCAACTTCATGACCAATACACAATTTCGCGGATGATACTATCCTTCATACTGCCTTCTCTTCCAGGGCTCCAATACCAGCCAGGCAAATAGAAACGAACGAGGGAGAAATGTTGACAACATTAATATGGACAACAATTCTCGAATGGGGATCCAATAACTTGGTAGATTTCAATGCAAACAAAACACAAGAATGCCTTTTCTCTAGAAAAGCCGATCTCACTGTGCCCAACATAAGTTTTTCAGGAGTGATCATACCTTTGGAGACATCCATTTCAATGCTTTGTATTACTATCAGCAATAACCTTTCTTGGGAAAATCACGTGAGATCAATTGCTAAAAGTGCATCCCAATAACTTAGTTTTCTGTTTCGGGCCAGGAGCTATTTCACTTCCAGTCAGCTTCTTATGATCTATAAGGCACAGATCCGACATGTCCTGGAATACTGTTCCCATATTTGGAGTGCAGCACCCAAACATACCCTGATATTGTTGGATTCTGTTCAAAAAAGGGCAATTCGTCTCGGGGGTGATGCATCACTCACAAACTCACTCACTTCTCTGGAACACTGTAGACAAGTTGGTGATCTGGCTCTATTTTGTAGATATTTTCATGGACGATGCTCTTCCGGAATATCTACAATTGTTCCTCCCTTGGCAGTCCCCGCGAGATTAACCCGTCGAGTTGAGTCTTCGCACCCCTTCGAGTTGAGTCTTCGCACCCCTTCGTGGTCACTTTGGAGACCTGCAGAACTTCTCTTTCCAAAGTCTCGTACATTCAATGAACAGCGAGATTCTGGAAGACATCGCCAAGGGTGGTGATCCCTGAGGCATATAACCTCCAGAAATTTAAGAAGAACACCAATTCCTACCTCATTTCCCTAGGTTCTCACGATGTTCTCTGAACATTACCGGATACCCCTTTTCGTGAGAACCAGAACATAAAGAAAAAAAATTTTTATGCTATATCATATCCCTGTATAAACTACAATGTTTCTTGAGATTTATAAATAAAGAAAGAAGAAAGAAAGAAACGAAAAATTCGAACTCACCAGCATCCTTGCCGCCCTTGACGCAAATCCCGAAGCCGTGGCTGCCCTCCTGCTGCTCGCGCACCATCGCCACCGTCCTCGTGGTCATCTCGTGCGCAGTCGGCGAATGCCGGTACGCGCTGGTCGGCCGGCGGGCTGGGCCGGCGGGCGGACTGCCGACCGGTGACCGGCGCGCCGGACGACCGCCGGTCGAACTGTGGGCGCCGAACAGTCGCAGCACCTGCTCGGGCGAGATGGGGCGCTTCTTGGCAGCGGCGGCAGAAGCAGTGGCGGGGCGAGCGGGGAAGTTCGGGTTGGAGCCCAGGTACGTCCCTGGAAAGACGAGCGTTTATACAGGGTGTTTCTTAGTAAGTGTAGAAAATTCAGGAACAAGTTGCTGACGTCTCAACTCTTTCAAGTACTTTGGTGCAGAATTTGACCCACGAATTTCTTGGAGTTAGAGGTATGCTGGGACAAAATACACTCACCGGCAAAAAAAAAACGGCCACCAAAAAATTTAGTCAAGTTGTTCGCCATGTAACTTCTTTAGTTCTTGTCGGATTTTGGTGAAATTTTGATCAAATCGTAGATTCATGTTCCGGAATGTTAACCTGAATATGAATTCCCAAAAAAGCTGATAGCTTGGTCATTATACAGGGAAAAACAAGAGTTACTCATTTACCCATACATTCTTAACGCCCTGTGGCTGAGGTGAGTGGTTGAACTCCTCTTCGATCATTATGTATTGGATTGAAGAGTATTCTTTTCTCATCACAATAGTTTTTGATTCACGTCGATATCTCATTTTTTAGAAAAGATACGAGGGTTTTAAGAAAGTATGGAGTTATTCAAGTTTTATTAACAATAATCAGAACGTAGATACACCTATACAAAAAACCTTAATTACAAAAAACAAACGAAAAGTAGATCTCCTAGATGTATTCAATACCGAGTATGTCCTCCTCGAGATTGAATTACAGCATTTAATCGCCGTGGCATCGAGTTGATCAGATTTCTCAAGCAGTCTTGAGGAATTGCCTCAAATTCTTGAAGGGCGAATCGTAGCTCTTGGAGAGTCTCTGGCAATGCCAGACGTACACGAATGCGCCTCTGTGTTCATCCCAAAGATGCTCTATAGGATTGAGATCCGGGTTGCATGCTGGCCAGTCAAGCCTTAGAATTCAAATACTCATTCAATTACTCGGTTACAATTCGAGCAACGTGTGGTCTGGCGTTGTCATGCATCAACACAAAGTCGTCTCCAATAAAATGGGAATATGGGACGACAGCTTCTTGTAAAATATCCTCCACATATCTGTGGGCGTTCAAAGCACCATTTTCCACAAATACGAGGTCGGTATGTCCTTCTGTAGAAATGCCTGCCCACGCCATAACTGAACCTCTGTTGAAAGATATCCGTTCAGAGATAGTTTTGTCTTCTCCATACCCTTTCTCGACCATCAGGTGATCGCAAACAAAAACGTGACTCATCGGTGAAGAGAACCTCTTTCCATTGTCGAAGTGTCCAATTTGCATGTAACCGTGCAAACTGTAGTCGTGTTCTACGATGCCTAGGTAGCAACTGCGGTCCTGTAGCAGGTCTCCTCGATGCCAAACCATATTCTCCAAGCCTCCGCCTGATGGTTCTTTCACTAACATCAACACCTCGAACAGCGTGCAATTCATGTTGAAGCTGAACAGCTGTTTTTCGGCGATTCCTGAACGATCTAAGCGCAACAAAACGATCATCAACCCTACTTGTTGCTCTTCTTCTCCCGGATCCAGCACGCCTTTCGAATCTGCCAGTCTCCAGAAAACGATTCCAGGCATATTGAACTGCAGTTCGAGGTATTCCTAATGTTCGAGACACATAACGTTGACTGTGACCATTTTGAAGCAAAGCTGCCACTTGAGCAACATCCGCAACAGTTAACGCCATTATTATTACTCAAAACTGTTGTTTTTCTTTTTAACAACAATAATGACATGCCACCGTGAATCACGAACTGATTTGTATTATTGATTAACTGTCAGAATCACTCCAGACAATTGTCCAAGCCTGCTATTTTATTTTAAATTATCGAAGGTGACCAGTATTTTTCTGCCGGTAGAAGTGAAGTGTCAATCGACAGCAATTTTCGAAGGAAAGTATACCAAGGAAACAATGTGGAAATAAGCCATATTGATTTTAAAATGTTTTTTTTAAGTTGTCGATCGATAAGTTTATGTACGTTCTGATGATTGTTAATAAAACTTGAATAACTCCATACTTTCTTAAAACCCTCGTATCTTTTCTAAAAAATGAGATATCGACGTGAATCGAAAACTATCGTGATGAGAAAAGAATACTCTTCAATCCAATACATAATGAAGAGGAGTTCAACCACTCACCTCAGCCACAGGGCGTTAAGAATGTATGGGTAAATGAGTAACTCTTGTTTTTCCCTGTATAATGACCAAGCTATCAGCTTTTTTGGGAATTCATATTCAGGTTAACATTCCGGAACATGAATCTACGATTTGATCAAAATTTCACCAAATTCCGACAAGAAATAAAGAAGTTACAGGGCGAAAAACTTGACAACATTTTTTGGTGGCCGGTTTTTTTTGCCGGTGAGTGTATATCCCGCTCTGCAATGGGCTTATGATTTGTGGTACGACGGTTTATTTTTTCTCCCGCCCCATATTACTCACTCATATTGGTCTCTTGAATCATATGTTCTAAGCTGAAGCGAATATAACAATACATTATTATTGAATAGAATAAACACGAAACTTGTTCCATACGTTGTGTTTTTCCTCTCGAATTGCGGCTGCAAATTTCAAGCTTATCATGTTATTTCATTTGTTGTTGCATTAAATACTATCTAGGCAACATAGGTAACCTACTTGCTATATTTTTCCAACTTATATGTTTATTTTTCGTTCACAATATGTGAAAATCTACGCTGTTTGAAATTTGTCTCACCATACAACATGACCAAGACATTTTTCAAGGATAATGATGAGGAAAATTATGTCGAATTCGATTTTAACAACATTATACTGTCTGATATAAATATCGAGACACAAGTACTTATATATGGATACATGGGACTCAGAAGATTTGATACCCCTATCGCGGAGTTGAAACCAGTGATAGAGAAAAAATGGTGTGGAGTGGATGAGATCGTTCAGCCAAAAGATTTCAATAGAACCTCTGGAGTTGCTCAAGATGGATAATCTCTCTCGTCAGTTCATCACGGACAAATTATTGAATCACATAGTTTTCCAGATCAATCTATTTACGAAGCAGAATTATCAGACGAATGGAAAGACATATAAAGGAACAGATATTCATGAAATCTTTTCCTTGGATGCCGCTGTAGTCAACTCATTTATTCTTCACAGAATACTGAATATCTTTCAAATTTATCAATGAAAGATTTGATCATTTAGTCGTCAATAAATATCGAGAACATCAATCGAATGGACGATTCAAATGGAGAAAAACACTCAGTCAAAGCCCGGTAATGAGAGTCACACAGGGTGCTCATCAACCTATCGGAACAAGTCGAAGGAGATAATGCTCCTTGCAATTCAGGAGAGTTTGAAGTTGGAACAAACTGGTTGTGTGTTTCACTCTGTCTTGCAAAGAACAAAACATGTTTGCAGACGTTTCACAGTGATTTGAAATGGGTCGATTCTCATGAAATCTTTCACCTTATGGAATGGTGGGTTAGATTTTGACCCACCGTTTTTTTTTTGTAAAAATTTGGAAATTCTGAAATTATTTTATATTTGTTCGTATCTTTTGAGACATTTGGAGTTAGTTTGTTAATGAGTCTCTTGAAAATCTGACGAAAAATAAAACTGTTCATCTAGGGGGTGTTATATTTCGAAATTCCTGTACCTGAAAGAGTTAACCCATTACCTCCCACGGATATTTTGTTCTTATATTCATAGGTATTTTGTTATAATTAGCCCCTCCTAGTAACACAAACACTAGAAAAATATTGAAAAAAACATTTCTGGCAGGGTTTTGAAGAAAATTGGTGTACTCAAATGAGTACGATGGGAGGGTGCATAGGAAAAAACTCAAAATTTCAAATACTACAAAAAAGTGTTTAATATCACAGTTGGGTATTGTCAGAGAGGTGAATGTACCCCTTTATTTCTTGAAATTCATTTCTAGACATGGTATCGAAACTTCACCATCAACGGCTCTAGTACTTGGGTTCTCGGGCGTAATTGCCAGCAAGTAGCAGAATTTCTATCCTGATTTTTTTGTGAGACATGATGGTTTCATTGCTCAACGTTTTCTTCAAACAATCTCTCAACTGTCTGAATTACACTATCGTTTTTTACATCCACTGCCATTTTTCGTAATCTAAGTTGATTGCTAAAAGTGCATCCCAAAAACTTGGTTTTCTGTTTCGGGCCAGGAGCTATTTCACTTCCAGTCAGCTGCTTATGATCCATAAGGCACAGATCCGACCTGTCCTGGAATACTATTCCCATATTTGGAGTGCAGCACCCAAACATACCCTGAAACTGTTGGATTCTGTCCAAAAAAGGGCAATTCGTCTCGTGGGTGATGCCTCGCTCACAAACTCACTCACTTCTCTGGAACACCGTAGAAAAGTTGGCGATCTGGCTTTATTCCATAGATATCTTCATGGACGATGCTCTTCTGAAATATCAACAATTATTGTTCCTCCCTTGGCAGTCCCCGCGAGATTAACCCGTCGAGTTGGGGCTTCGCACCCCTTCGTGGTCACTTTGGAGACGTGCAGAACATCTCTTTCCAAAGGCTCGTACATTCAACGAACAGCGAGACTCTGGAAGACATCGCCAAGGGTGGTGTTCCTCGAGGCATATAACCTCCAGAAATTTAAGAAGAACACCAATTTCTACCTTATGAACAAAAGTTACTGTTATGGTATTCAAAGTGGCCCCCATATAACAACCATATGGTAAAATCAATGACAACATACTCGAGGTAAGATACAAGTGCCAATAGGCCTAAGTGTAATCGAATACATCGGTCAGGCGAGCCTTGAGTCTTGGAACACTGCCATGAACGGAATGATCTTTTATGGTGTCCATAAAGGAATTGGACCACCCCAAAAAAAAACACAATTATTATTATTCAGTCCTCTGGCAAGTCAGTTGTCAGATGGCGATAACGAAATAATGAGGGTATATCAGGCGTGGAGTTTTACGAACTTCTGTGGAGTAGATGAAATGAAGTGGGAATAGATTCGGCTCGTTATGGAAATTTTCTCGGGATGAATAAAGTGAAACGTCGTTTTGTTCACGGTGAGGCTGGCAAGATGCTAAATCAGTGGCATCGTTGAATTATCCAGTACAGTACCTACACCGCCAGTGAAAATTCATGAGTATCTGTTGAATATTCATAGGTGTTTCTATACCAGAATGCAATTATTTGCTTCTTCGGGAATGTTTTGATATCTCTGAGTTTTTTATAAGACCATGGACGTATAAATGTATAAGACCATGTGAAGCTTAAAAAAATCAATTCTTAAGAAATAGACATCATTCCGAAGAAAAATGTTCTAATATATAGAAACTAAAAATTTGCTATTCTTCTTCAGGTGAACCCTAACTGATAACATCCATCAGGAGAGTTTTCAATAACTATGGAATCAATCAACTGGATTTTTTCCAATTCTGCAAACGTTAGTCGATCGAAATATGAAATGAATCAAAGAAGCTGTTGGAAAGTTGTGACAAAAATATTTTTTCGCTCAATCCTATAAATCACCCTGTTAATTATTGCGGAAGAGGAGAAATACTCCAGATGGCAATTCGATATTCCCCGTCTGGGGCCTCTGTTCGTGGTAGGAGTATGTACAGTACCTCATGACTCAACCTGTATACGAAATGAATATTTTTTCACCTGGTTGAATCGATCATTGATAGACCTTCAATTTTATGTATCTCAAAGTAGGGGGTGCCATTTGAGATTTCAAAGTAGGGGTGTCTGGGGGTGAAGGGGATGAACATAGTATTCAATTGATACTGTTATTTTACTTCCCCCTCGATATCTAATGCGACCGGTTTTTGCCGAAAATTGTAATCTTCGCAGATCAGAAGATATCTAGGGTGGTAAGTTTTGAGATGAAAGCCCTGTATATATGATGTTTCATTATTTTACTCCTCGTTAATATTTTCTATCTCTACCAAGTTGGTTATGAGTAGAATGTCATAACATATTCATCTATTTGTCCTTAATTATATTTTGCTCTTGTCTCAGTATTTATGCAGTCAATTTTCGTGGTAGGTAAATGTATATTCTGTAATATTACTAAATAGGGTGTAGCTCTCTACTTATATAATTGTAAGGAGCCTAATAGTTTCTTTTCATATTAGTGGATATGCTTATGTATAATATTATTGTATTAGAAAACTGAGACTATATATTTATTGTGAAACTTTATATACAGTATTTTCGATATATATACATATAGTACCACCTTATCTTCGTGTTTAGGATTATGAATATTTATTCTGAATATATTTGATTTTTGCTGATACAATCAATATGTCTATAACAAGCATTCCACTTTATAGTGTAGTTTTGTTATCTCAGTATTAGGCTTCACTTGTTCAATTTTTTGTAGATAAATACGTTTTTTATTATTTTCAAAGGGAGACTGGAAGATAATCCTTGCTGAAGTCCACTCATATTCGCCCAATTGATGTACGTACCTATCAGTTTATCACTTCTGTTCATGTAATGTTTTGTTACATCTGGGTAGATAAATGAATGAATAAATGAATAAATAAATAAAATAAATAAAATATGCTGTCATGGTCATGGCTACTAGATTTTAATTATTATTGAGAATTAAAAGAAGTGCTTACATAGTGACAAGAGGTCCATATTTCGATTTCACAGAAGTAAAGTGATTGAAATATATTGCTAGTGGTGAAAACATTATATAACAGAGTGGGCCTTTGAAAACGAAACAGAGGCTCTGTAGGTCGCCAAAACCGGATTATCAAAAAAAACTGAAACAGGTCAACTACATTTTCGAGGGGGACATCTTTCCAAAATATTTTCAGCCCTGCGGCGTTGCCGCTTCTAAAGAAAAGAAGCAACAACTTTGTTATTTCAAATGGAACACCTTGTATTTTATTGCATTTTTAGATTCTACCCGAAGAGCTGATTTCATCAATGCATCACACTTGGGGTCTAGCTGTAATGGTTTCAGGGATATAAAGTGTTCAAAATCGAGATTTTTCAACTTTGACATTTTTTTGTGTCGAAACTATTCATTATTGGTCGAAACGGCTCTCATGTCCCTATATCAACTTGTGATTTACTATCTACTGACATTTAATTGGAACAGATACAGGGTGATCAGAATTCGGAATCTTGAACCACCCTGTATTTGTTTCAAATAAATGTCAGTAGATAGTAAATCGGGACATGAGAGCCGTTTTGACCAATAATGAATAGTTTCGACATAAAAAATGTTAAAGTTGAAAAATCTCGATTTTGAACACTTTATATCCCTGAAACCATTACAGCTAGACCCTGAGTGTGATGCATTGATGAAATCAGCTCTTCGGGGAGAATCTAAAAATGCAATAAAACACAAGGTGTTCCATTTGAAATAACAAAGTTGTTGCTTCTTTTCTTTAGAAGCGGCAACGCCGCAGGGCTGAAAATATTTCAGAAAGATGTCCCCCTCGAAAATGTAGTTGACCTGTTTCAGTTTTTTTTGATAATCCGGTTTTGGCGACCTACAGAGCCTCTGTTTCGTTTTCAAAGGCCCACTCTGTATGTACCTTGGTAGTACAGAATATTATTTCCATTGGACCTTATACCCCTCGGTTGCAGCCTTGGGATATATAATCTTGGTCCCTGGGTGATGATGATATTCTTTACTACCTTGGTATGTGAATAACAATTAATTCTTATTGCATCACAATGAGACGATAGTAGACCTTTTCTAATCCTAGGAGTAAAATTTCAACTTCACCTTCAAGGAAATTAGAGTGTTGCCTAACAACATACCTTTTTTTGTCTCAGTAATAGAAACGTCAACTTCAAGAGCTAATTTCAGAATCGTGTGAGTCGGCTACTCTGTTGCAGAAAAAATATGTGCTCACCTCTCGGACTGCCCACCGAATTGTAGTGTCCGTAGTCCCGCTCCCTGTCCCGCTCCCTGTGATGCTGCGCCGCCGATCCGGGCCGCTCCACGATGGTGTAACTCGTCCCGGGCGGCGAGTAATACACGCCCGACCGGCCCCTCGCGCGCCCGCCCAGCGCGTCCTCCGCCTCGGCGGGCGGCAGCGGGCCGCCCCGCCCGCCGGAGGGTCCGCGCGGCCGCCGCCCGAACTCGGCCAGCTCGGCGCCGGCGGCCTCGGGGTCGCCGTGGCCGCCCCCACAGCCGGCGCCGCGCATCCTGCCGGCTACGGGGTGCTAGCCTCGGTGCTAGCCTCGGTGCTAGCGTCACGTGCCTGGTAACTGGAACAAGGAGATGACATCACGTTTAATAATGATAGCTATCCCCGTCAGAGAACGAGGAAGTGGAGTTGAGTGGAAGAAAGCACTTGGTCTACTCAACACCGAGTCCGAACCAGAGCTAACTCTGCCTTTTGATAGATGATGTCATATGTTACTTTTTCTTGTTAACCATTATCTGTCAATAAAAACGATTATTATTATTATTTATTATTATAATAATGAAGTGCTCAAAGAAACAAGTGGACCACTGAAATACACTCACCGGCAAATAATCGATCCACTCAAAATATTGATAAAATTTGATCAACGATAACTTCGTTAATTCATGTCTGATTCGTTAAATTTTTTTTTATTCCGTAGGTAAATTCATAAAGAATCACACACAATGTTGAGATTTCAAGAAATGAGGGATATCTTCAAATTATACAGAGTGACAAAAAAAGTGCATTTTTACTTCAATTTTAAAACAATCTCTGGAGTGGCTGAGCTGGTACATCCTGTAATTTTCCAGTCAATCATCAAGCTACGTTCATTACGAACATTTTCTTTTCTTATTTGTTAGGATAACTGCATTTTTGTGGAAGTTACAAGGGTTTCAGAAGAACGTTACATTTCAACATTTTTTTCTATGATAATAACAAGGTTCCCCAAGACATTTTTTGCATAGCTGGCTGTGACTGACCTGTCAGTTGACAATTTTTATGCTTGTGTTAATCATCGAATGGTCGAATGAGATATGGGGTAAAACTGCATTTAGCATGCGATGGGTTTTTTTTCGAAAATTGTTTTTGGTACTTACGTATTTTTGTCTGAAAAACACGAATTTGATAATGAAAATGTGAACAAACCACTATTTATAGAGATATTTAAAAAAAAAGTTCGAAATTTCGACTCCTTTTTCCCCTTGCGTTGGATGCATTTACAGGTACTTGCTCTTCTTATTTTGTCATTGGACACTTTATATACTCATGATGTACTTCAATAACACATTTTTATACAGAAAATTCAACAGGAAATATGATTTTCATGGTGAGTTTTTCCTATTTAGTGAGCAAGCATACCAGATGACGGCCATTTTATCCATAGGCAATCCAAATACGTGATGTCAAATGTCAATAGATTGCTTTGGAATGAAATTACACACGCCATTATTTCAAATGATATTCTTCCTTCTTTTCAATAAATATGGATAAATCACAAGAAAATCATATTTCTAGTTGACTCAATAATAGGAAAAAATGTGTCTTACATTGTGATATATATAAATTGTCCAATGATGAAAAAAGAAGGGTAAATTGTTTTAAATTCAATCCAGAAGATAGGTAGGCGGAAAAGAAGGTGGAATTTGTAACTTTATATTGAACTATCTTGATAAATAATGGTTTGTTCACATTTTCATTATCAAATTCGTGTTTTTCAGACAAAAATACGTAAGTACCAAAAAAAATCGAAAAAAAACCCATCGCATGCTAAATGCAGTTTTACCAGATATGGATCTTTCTGCAACCGACTCTGCGAGAGCTATTGCTTTGGTGCAGGATGGTAGATCACAATATCATGTGGCCAGAGCTTTGGGAGTTTCAAGATCCAGGGTGCAAAGGGCTGTCAAACGGTTTCGTGAATTTGGTGTATTCACAAGAAGAGGTAATAGTGGTCGGAAAGAATCTACGAATGATCGAGATAACCGTATTTGTATTTGTAGTCAATATGCCTACCCAAATGATGTGCATAAATTTCTAAAAATATTCTGTACATTGCCTTACCTTCTCTACTTTGAACCGCATCAAAGACTATTTGAGGAACACTACTGCCCAAGTAAGTGAGGCATTATTGAAGAAATTGCTCTCAAACCAAGGCACATAGATTTAATTTTGTAATGTTCGAAATTATTGTAGTTACCAATAATTATGAATGAAAATATGTTTTGAAAGAAAAATTATATCCCCTCCCCCAAAGGTACACTTCTGGGTACGCCACTGACACTCGCCCCGGGAAATGTTATTTCTAGATACATATTGTGGCAAAACAAATTAGTGAATATACATAATATATAATATGTACATATATCATGGGGTTTCCATATGTGTTCACATTTCCTAACCTCTATTAAATTTTCAAGGCATCTGTAATATTCCGAATTCGGTGGTGGGAATTGTTATTGGATGTTCACTGGAAGATAAAACAATCGAACAAACAATTTGGAATGCCGAATCCGATTCTATACACTATCCGATACTCCTTGGCATTCTCCCAAATCTGGAACGCAAATGGAAAGCGTGATTACCCTGAAAAATGTGTCTTTGGCATTTGGCGTTCCCTTATCGAAACTTGACTGCGATATTGTTTCGACTTGGAGAAAGTATCAGTATCATTATGTAAAATCTGCTGAGATAAAATTTTTAAAATTACAATTTAATCAAATATTGATCATCGCGACAAGCTTTTATGATCATATAAATTGTGTATAATGAGGTTATAAGTTGATAGTTAAAATTATTAAGAAAAATTGTATTTTCTTATTTTTAGAGCGTTTAAATAAAAGCTTTTCATCAAAAAGGTTTTTTTTTCACTTTCAATTTATTTTTTAATTTTTAGTTATCGCTAGCTGGATTTTTCGATTTACTCTCAACGAGCCTTTTCATTTGATACCCATATTGTAGAAGTATATTCAAAATGACCATTCCGCCATCTTGGATGGTCCGCCATAATGGATTAAGAATGACGTCACATCATTTTTCGAGTTACTCTCAACGAGCCTTTTCATTTGATACCCATATTGTAGAAGTATATTAAAAATAGCTATTCCGCCATCTTGGATGGTCCGCCATATTGGATTCAGAAAAATGTCACATTATTTTTCGAATTACTCTCGACGAGCCTTTTCATTTGATACCCATATTGTAGAAGTAGATTAAAAATGACCATTCCGCCATCTTGGATGGTCCGCCATATTCGATTCAGAATGACGTCACATCATTTTTCGAGTTACTCTCAACGAGCCTTTCCATTTGATACCCATATTGTAAAAGTATATCAAAAATAGCTATTCCGCCATCTTGGATAGTCCGCCATATTGGGTTTAGAATAGCGTGACACACCTTATCGTGCATTGTCATCCAAACTGAACGTGTCTACAAAATTTTGGCTCAATCGGTTGAAGATTTCTACTTCAAAATTGAGTTCAAAGATTCCACCCGAACATACATACATATACATTCATACAAACATACAATGTGAGTTAAATAAAAGCTTTCAAAATGAAAGGCGAACAGTTTTATAGAAGTAATGTACAGGGTGTCCAGTTTTGGATGCAGCATCTCTCGCGATCCTGTGCCATTTTTTTGTGAAACTCAAGATGGCCTAATCAGATTTTGTATTACTGTTTTCGTTTTTGAGATACAGGGCGATTTTGAAAATTCATACATTTGTACACCCTCTATATCTACAAAGTTTCTCAGCGAAAATGTCAAATTAAATTCTTAGCCCATAAAAAAATGTTGCGTAGAATCCAGTGGCGCACTCAATTTTTTCTTTCGGTGTATAGTTTGGAGATACGACTCAAACCTATGATTTTTTGAATGTAACACCCTGTTTCATCAGCTCATTAAATTCCTTATTTTTCTCCTTTCAGAATGATATATAATGTTTGAATATAAAAATTTCATATTTCAAACGGATTGGATGGATTTATCATATAAAAAAGTTCCAATTGAAGGAATATATAACAATACCAATACTAATCAACTAACAAAACATAACTTTGCTACCTGATAGCAACAAATAAATAGTAATAAAAAGTTCATAATTAAGAATAAGCACCTGATTGAATATTTACTAAAACAATTGAATTTCGAAATTCTTCAGTAACGTCTTATGCATTCAAAATTATTGAATGATATCTTTGTAATTTCTGGAAACTGCCTCTGTTGTTGCACGAAGTTCTTTAAAATTGTTGTTCTACTTACTGTATTAGCACGTATTGAGAACGTGTATCAATTGTATGTTAGGGAAAATGGACATCAATTTTAATTTCAATTGTTTTAGTAAGTATTTAATCAGGTGCTTATTCTACATTTGGTATTCAACCCAGATTCAGGTGCCTATATAAACTAGAGAGAGAAGCAGCAGAAGAAGAAAACAAGAAGAAAGAAAGAGGTCGTTGATTTGCTGGAGGACTGATGCCTGTATACATATTTATTCTTTTGACTGATCGTCAAATTTTTCAATAAAAAAATCTGTTTTTCTTCTAAACATCTACAACGACCACAAAAGACAGCCTCATTCATCCATAATCTCTTATTGAATGTATATGTATATATGTTAGTCAAATTGTTTTCATTATGCTTCTTTGGAAAGACGTATTTTTTATGTGTGAACGTTTACGACTTCACAACATTGTCAATTGTTTTTCAGGTCACCTTCAGTTTATCGCTTGCTGGAAAGCCAAACAACTGACGTTTGATTTTCCACCCATTTCCATTATTCAGTTTTCAATCTCTATTTTGCTCGAGTTGTAATAAAGCGTCTCTGTGGAAGTTTATTGCAGTTTCGAGATTGTTCAATAAGTAATATCCTGGATTCTTCTGCAATCGATGAGATATGTCGATGGTTGGCTTGAAGGGCTATTTTAGGAGAGATTCCTATAATATGTACACGAATAAGACTGTATCAATTTGCTTCATCCTTACGTTGTATTTCCGTATCTATTGGTAGATTACCTTTTTCTATTTTTCAAATTTATACAACTCAACTCAAAAATAAAACATCAAGCCAAATTTTTTTTCACACTTACGAAGAGCAGCAAACATTGAAGGAACGTTTCACAAATGGAATTTCTGTGACTGATACTTCTTCCATATCGAAAATAGCATTTCTGAGAATGTGTATAGTATGGCATAATTTTGAAGGGCAAAAATGACAAAATCAACAAAATAAAT